CCATTGTTGATCGGCTTTCCAGTTTTTTTTGGGAGGGGAACACGAACGTCATAAGCCAGATAAGCCCAACATCAAATATTTGCCTAGTTTGTTTGGTGTTTGCCTTGGCATTTCAGATGTTTGAACTACTCAATTCCACTTGAGCACGGAAGTGCCAGCTCATCGGTATGGAAATCGCCCGATCAGGATATACTATATGCTGTTTGGGGGGAAAGTTATCGAGAGCCAATCGGGAGATAAGCAGGCAAAGCCAAGCCGAAACAGCCAAGTGACACCGGTGGCCGGGGCTAATTAGACGGCAAGTCAACACTCGGCCCGAAGTGAAATTAAATAAATATAATCATTAATTTATCTTGCCCCTGCTCACAACCCTCAACTCGGAGTTTAAAGTTGCCGGGTTGGCTGGCTGGCTAGCTGGCTGGCTGGCTCACCACAAATCATCAAAAGTCATTTAGCAAACATTTGAAGTTGAAAAATAGCCTTCAACTTGCTTCAATGCACTTGAAGAGAATCAACCGCAGAGCAGATGGACGGGGTTAAGGTTTTGGGAATATGCCTCACCATACACTATACCACTCTAGACTATATATATGTATGTATATATACCCTGGGAAAAAAGGGAAAGGGGAGCAGGAATGGGAACGGCAGCGGCAACGGCGGCAACTTTTTACGGAAGCGGCTCAGGTATAGAAGAGCCAAACCAAAGAGTCACGTCACGCGTGGGTGCCCCCCACACAGAGAAAAAAACGCGACTAAATAAAATAAAAGACAGACGGACCGACGGACTGGCGGACTGGACGGACGGACGAACGGACGGACAGTTTCAGTTCCAAGTCTCTGGGCGTACTTAGCGCTGTTGAATAATTTCCACAACCACGAAACCCAATTGAAATTAGAGCCCAGTCACAGAGAGCCCAGTTTGAGATACTTTTTTCCTTTTCTTTTTCTTTTTGTTTTGTTTTTTTTTTTTTTTTTTTTTTTTTTTTAGCCCTGGCCGGCCACATGTCGCTACCGCTAACAACCTGCCCCGATCCGCTGTAAGCCAAGTGCATTTCCATTTCCATTTCCATCTCCATCTCCATCTGCACTTCCACTAGCATTTCCTCGCCTTTTCGAGCCACTCGCCGTCTGCTATTCAGCTACTCATAATGCGGAAGATTGCACCAAGTCCAGATCGCTCGCTCCTTTACTTCACTTTACTTTCCGTTCCGTTCCGTTCTGTCTCATGTTGTTTATCTAACCGCTCGGATCTTGAGGTTTCTACGTTCTGTACTTTGGCTAGCTGGATGACTGGATGGCTGGTGGGTTTTTAACACAATTTAGCGGCGTCTCAGTTGGTGGAGGGATATGCGAGTATACTATATACATACGTATGTAGATATGGTCTGGGGTCAGATCGGAGTGCTATAACGGCTTTGTCTTCGGTTACCCACACCTTGTTGCTCGGCCATTCAACACCGGCGAAATGCGGTGTGCAACAAGTGCATCAGCCAACTAATTTGAATCTCATTTAATTTCATTGCAATTACTTCACCTGCCAGGGAAAAAAGTATGAAACCTTATCGATTTGAACAAGTCATTATCAAATCTATTGCTCAATAAGTTTGTTGTCACAGTCTTAGACGTAAAACCCCATAAATACCAATCGAATGTTTGCCAACTTATGACGTTTAGACCTTATCAGAGACCCAGTAAACTGATTGCAAAACGGAAATTGAGGCGTTATGAGAATGAAATTTAGCAATAAAGTTAAATTTATGGTTGTTTGCGGAAATTGAGTGAAACGGATGCCGGAAACACAGCATATTACTATTTTTATACCATTAAGCTTAAATTAGTAGTAATTAGCAAATTAAATGTTAATATAAAAAAAGGACTTCTTCGAGTTTTTAAAGTAATCTCTCCAAGTTATAATTGAATCCTATTTCTGCCCAGAGATAGTACAATTTAAATTGTTTTCCTTCGGCTTGTTTTCCCAACTCGGTTCCATCTAGAAGGCCTCCCCCGTGACGACAAATAGGCATTGGATGTTTGCGCCTGCGCGCATTTTGAAATTGCTTTTGGAAAATTGTTCATGTTTTCGTGTTTGTTATTTTTGTGGGCTTGTCTTGCTACTCTTGTTGTTCTTGTTGCCATTGTTTGTGTATCTGTATGTGGGTATTTGTTGATGATACAATGACGCTGCGCTTGGCAGCTGTTGTCTGTCATCAGCCAGGTTCCCAAAAACACAAAAACAAAATAAAAACCGAGTTGGGGGATCCATGGATTCTGCAGCTTGAGCAACGTTTACTTCCCGCACTTCCTTCCGTACTCCAAAACACCGAACAATGGAGTCTCTCTCTCCCTTTGCAGCTTTTCAAATATGTGCTTACCAGATAGAAGACAATCTACCTGCTTGAACTTTAAACTTGAAACTCTGAACTCCGGAGAACCGGCGACAGGTGCCATGCTTTATTTCCGCTTCCGATTGGGAACTTCGCAGGTGAGGTAATCGATAAGAAAATAAGCACTATCATTCGGTCTAGCTTTTGCCAACTTTTGCTGGCTTATCAGCTGGCTTGTGCGGTTAGTAGGGTAAGTACCTGTTTTGTTTCGCCTTTGAAGAAACTGGCTGAAACGTAGAACAAGTTGGGACAGCTCCGTCACAAGTGGCCGACTTTGAACCCTTCTTTGCTTCTGGTTTTTCTTACAATTGTCGCACTTGTCACCGCCACCAAAGCCCCACCTTTACCTTTTACCCCCCTCTTGATATGTTTTTTACTTTTTTTTTTTTTTTTTTTTTTCAGCTTCTTTTATTGTTATGCGCAGTGCGTAGAACAAGTGGAAGCTTTGTTTGACAACAACAACAGCGAGTGAAACATCAGCAGCTGGGGCGAGTAAAAAAAAAAACGTTAAGTTTACACGACTTCCAAGCGCTGGGCGGAATCACCTGCCGCAGTTTGTTGTTTCTGTTGTCGCTGTTGTGGGCTTGACATTTGACAATAAAGCAAATAATCATGGGAAAAAAGCTAGAGCCACCAGAAGAACTACTCGACTCACCGCCCAAGTCACCAAAAAGAAAATAAAACAACAAAATGCGGAGGGAGAAGCGGAGCCCAAGTCAAAATAAATGAAAGCGTTGCGCAAAGATCCATTAGATGAAAGCAAAATTATATTAAGATTGAAGAGTTTTCTTAGGGGATTATGTCACGATACTCAATCTATCGCAATATAATCTGATGATTTCAATCATCATCTTGTCATGACTCAAATACTATTGTTTTATTACAAAATATGGAATTAGCTAAAAATATTTAAATGTTACCCAAAATTTTATAGAGTAATTTTACCAGAGGAATTTAACCAGTAACTATTATATGTCAAATTTATATTATATTAATTTATTTATTTAAAACTTTTGTGTGAGTCATTAAACTAGGATTTTAATTCTAAGTGTATGAGCAATCATATCATATCTGATATTACAGTTTAGAAAAAGATATCTGTAGCCTATCAGAAGCTCGGGGGATATGAGTAACTTATTGGAAATCGCTGCCAAAGCCAATCGAAACTGACCTCTTATCGACCATTATCAATTAATGGGTTACGTTGTAGTTAGAAACCTATAAAAATGCTAACCAGATCGATAGCATTCTTAGTTCAGTTTGAACCTTAAAGTGTAACGTGGGTGTTGTAATTATACGAATACTTAAAGTTTTAAAACCAAGTGCCGTTTAAAGGATTAATTGGTAAGTTAATTTCCTTATAGCCAGGAAATAGAGAAAGACAGTGATACGAAAAAGAGAGAGAGAGAGAGAGAGAGAGGTTGAGAGAAATAGATTGGATTAAAAAAAAACTTAAACAAAAAAAATTAATTAATAAATGATATACATTATTGTTTTAAAAGCTTTAAGACTTGGAATTTAAGGAGTGCTTCAGAAATCTGTAGAGATTTAATATGACTAAAAGAGATCTGAAAAAGTATGCTATGATTGTGCAATGGATCGTGACACATTTAAGGAAATCCCTCAATAGCATCCCTGTAATGCGCTATAAAGATCCCTATTGTTAACCGCAAATCGCTCCGAAGTAATTAATATAAAGTAAACAAATTGGTTCACTCGTAATTTTTGAAAGAAAACTGCAGGGCTGAGAAAACGCCGGAGAGAAAAGCGATGCTCGAGGAAAATTTGTTGGAGAGAAAAGTCGGCGTTTGAGCGAAATGAGAAAGCCGAAGACATTCGAACCGGCCCGAACGCCAACGAACATATTCCGACCAGTGAGATACGTTCGAGTCGCGAGATACGTTTGAGTCGTATCCATAAGATACGTTCGAATTTTTCAGCTCTGCTCGCCATCGGTGCGATACGTTTGAGTCGTTTTCGCGGCGTCAAATCGAGCAGACCTGTGTCGCTCCGTAGAGCGAGTTTCCCCGAAAAGAAAAAAGAATTGTACGAAATTCCGCCTGCGTTAGGAGCAGAAAAAAAAAAAAGAAAAAGAATCATTTTAAAGCAACCATACACAATCAGTTAGTTTCCACCGACAGTCCGCAGAAACCATTCGACGGCAACGGAACGGGCGCGCGATTGTCGGCAATCCGAAAGATAGCCAAATATTATTATTGTTCAGACACTCAGAGGGCGTTGATAAAAGATCACCCAGACAACTGCAGATCGAGTGTGGTGGAGTGTTTTGAAATCAGTGAAATTCTGTGTGAAAACTCGGCTGAATACAAATCTCACGAAAAATAATTAATTGCTCTCGGTGAATTTCATCAGCTGAAGCAAACGAAGTGACCCACCGAACAAATCGAATGCAACCAACCAATCGATCGATCGTGTAAAAGGACTTTCGATTTCGTTACGAGTAAGCGATAAAGCGCCGGATTAGTGATTCCCCTGATAAAGAGGACTTTTTACGGAATATATTCAAACAAAATTAAAAAAAAAAAACAGTGCAACCACAACAACAACAACAATCGTCATCGATGTGAAGCAACAACTTCTGTCTGCAATTGGTTTATGTACTTACATCCAAAAGTATATACGCACAGATATATAAAACAAAAACGATCGATTCTCGTGCCCGCGCGTGTAATTGTGTGCGTTCCCATGTTGCATATATATATATATATGCACAAAAAAAAATATAAATATATATATCTCTAGAGCCGACTGTTGCGACGACTTTTTCTATATAATCGGCTAGTGAGCACGCAGACAACGAAGAGGTGCACAAATACAACGACAGATGCGGGCATATATGTATTGCATATAGTATATATACATATCTAGCCAAAGCCAAAGTAGAAGATATATATCTATATGCGTATAAGCTGAACGCGGCGCACTCTGCTCTGTTTTTTCTTTTATAATTACTTTTGTCTAAAATTAGAAGACGTGTGTGTTGTGTGTGCCCCGTCCGTGTATCCGTATCCGTGAGATACGTGTGAGTGTCCGCGTCTGCTATATCGCACATCATCATCACCAAACACCAAACACCATCCACCGTAGCCACCAGCCAGCATCATCATCATCTTCGTCGTCGTCATCGTCATCAGAGATCTGAGATCTGTGATCTGTGAAATCTGTGTGTGCCAGAAAAGACGACTCGTGAATCAGACTACGGCTGCGACTACGACTACGACTACGAATACGGATACGACTACGAGTACGGCTATATAGGCGATAGGCGGAGAGATCGCGTATACGGCCAGACAAACATTATCGTATATCTGGCGGCGAGGATTACAATTACAAGAGCAGCAAAAGCGCCACGCACACGACCGATCGGCAGCCGAAGCTAAAGCCGAACACGAATATCGGTATATCCGAGTATCCGAGCAGCCGAAGATCCGAAGATCCGCAGATCGGAAAATCCGAACATCCAAAGATCCGAACCAATATCGAGACGAGACGACGATCGCGCGCGTGAAAAACCTCGTGAAGAAAAGCGCTGCGAAACGTTAAAAAAAAAAAACAAACGACAACAAAAAAAAAAGTGGGGGAAAAATCAAACGCCACGCGACCTTAGGCCCGTCCAATTGGGGGGGCGTGGCCGTGCGTCGACTCCTAGCGATCGCTCAAGTGAAACGCGGCGAAATTCTGGGCAGATAACAAAAATGAGTCACCAACAGCAGCAGCAGCAACAGCAACAACAGCAACAGCAGCAGCAGCAACATCAACAGCAACAGCAAACATCGAGTGCGTCCAAGTGTTCATAAATTAATGCTAGGAATACAGTGTGTTAGACCAGTCCGAAAGACACTATCCCCCTCTCTCTCCCTCTCGAACAGTCCGTCTCTCTCTTGCCCCTGCTGTCGCTCAAAATGCTACGAAACTATCGAAAGTATTTGCAGGATAAACGAAAATACGATAAGCCACAACGACGAGGCAGCGACGGATACATTTGTCACGTTTAAACAAATTGCAAGGACACAGGATACACCAATTCCCCAGCAACCGCAGCAGCAGCAGCAGCAGCAACACGCAGCAAGCGGCAGCAACACGCAGCAGCAGCAGCAGCAGCAGCGACACTCGCTATCGAGATTTTGTACATAAAGTCGGGGCAATAGCAGCAACAACTTTGGAGGACGCCATGTATGCGCAACATTTGCGCAAATGGAGTCTAAAAACAAAAAAGCAACTAATGCCAATATATCTAATTATCAGCTACATGTTGCTACTAAACACATGTGTGTCGTCGTCGATGGCGACGCAGCTGCAGCAGCAGCAACAGCAGCAACAGCCAAGATTATGGGAAGGCAGTGCCGAAGAAAGCAGCTACTATATACCACTGAGTTCGGATAATGGCAGCGGGAGCAGTGAAAGCGCCGAGAGCGGTGGCACTGGCAGCAGCAGCAGCAGCAGCATAAGCAGCAGCAACATCGACAACAATATCTTAAGTAGGCTGCTCAGCCTCACCAGTAATAGTCTTAGTAGCCGTAGCAATGTTAAGTTAAAGCCAGCAACAGTATTCGACGCCGGCAGCAGTTCAGCCGCTCAGCAGGAGCAACATGTTGCCGCCGTGCCAGAGCAACAGCAGCAGCAACAGCAACAGCAGTCAATGCAAAAAGTTCCAAATACGTTAATCAATAGTCAAATATATAATTTATTACACAATGGCATGCCCAGCGAGGCGGCGAGCAGTAAGATGCGTCGTCACATTCAACCAGCGCAGCTGCAACTGCAACATCAACCCGAGAGTTTAGCACCGCCGCCGCCGACGAGCAACTTCAGCAGCCGGGCGGTGCAGAGCTATCTCATCGAGTCCTACGAAGTGCCAGATAGCCAGCTGGAGGACCGTAGTCCCGAGCAGGCGGCGCGAAGTCGCCGCGACGGTAGCAACATCAACGGCAGCCGCCAGCAGCAACATCGCCAGGGACACCGGCAACAGTTGCAGCAGGACAGGCGCGATCACCGCCGCCAGCGGCAGCAACAGCAGCAGGAGCAGCGGAGTCAGCTGAAGAGCGGCCAGCATCACCACCACCAGCGGAATAACCAGCCGGCGAACAGCCAAAGGAGCAGGAAGCACCAGCGGAAGCATCGGGGTCACCAGCGATCGGATCGGTACTGCTCTGCGCGGGATCCCGCCCAGCTGGCCTATGCGGCGCCCACCGTCTTCCAGGGCGTCTTCAAGTCGATGTCCGCCGACCGGCGGGTGAACTTCTCGGCCACCATGAAGGTGCAGAAGGTGTACAAGCAGCAGCACGACCTGCAACTGCCGACCCTGGTGCGCCTCCAGTTCGCGCTGAGCAACACCAGCGGCGAGTGCGACATCTACAGGGAGCGCCTGCTGCCGCGGGGCCTACTTCGGTCCGGAAATGATCTGCAGCAGGCCTCGGATATATCCTACATGATGTTCGTGCAGCAGACGAACCCCGGCAACTTCACCATCCTCGGCCAGCCCATCAGGGTCACCAACTCGGTGATGAAAGCGGTCAAAATGGCTGTGAGCGAAAATTATGGTGAGTGGATTTCGATTTTAAACTATTTAATTAGATAGGAATTGTGGGATGGAGATTTAATTATACATTACAGAATTTTTGGGATGTTATTCAGTGAATACTAGAAAGAAATCTAGCCTAGATTATTATTTTAATAACCAAAGAAAATACAATTGTTATAGAAGACTTTTACTTAAACTACAGACTCAAGCAATACTTATTTGGTTTTCACCTTGTGAAGCATTTAATTTTTTTTTGTTTTTCATGATTTTTTAGTTTTAACTAGAGCTTTTATCTGAAAATTTGGTGCATTAATCCCATTCAAAATCGTTTACATAATGTCTTCGATCGTTGAACCCATTTAACTGGCTTGAAATCTGGGAAATATAGCTTTCAGCTGTAAGACATGATACGAAGATCTCCTTGAAGTCGCTCTCTTTCTGCCTCGTGCAACCTTTCTTTTGGCTTCCGCCCATTACCTTTCTTTCTTTCTTTTCCCCTCTCTTTCTCTGTTACAGCTGCCTCTTTCTCCTCGCGTTGTTGTTGTTGTTTAATGAAATTTAGCTGCTTTTTTGCAGCTGAATTTCTTATTTGCCAACTTCACGCTCTGCTAATATTCACCAGACCGAAATAATTTTATGCAATACACTTAAACCCAAACTCACACACCTACTGCCACACACACACACACACACACAAGCTCACAGGCAAATGTTGCGCATGCGCCTGCTCGATTGCAGTTTTTGTTGTTGTTTTTCCTTTTTTTGATGCAGGTCTAGGCCCTGGTCTTCTTTGGATTCTTCCACTGGATTCTTTCTTTGTGCCCGGCTCAATTTGGTTGCCGGGCAACAAAAATGCTCACATCTAGAATTTATTATTGCTGCTGCTGCTGCTTTTGCTTTTGCTGTTGCTAGTTGCACATTTTAATTAAATTCGCATTAACTTTGCTCGCCGTTCCCGGTTTCTTACCCCTTTTGCCTCCCCCGAAGAAGTGGGAAAAACTTTGAAAACTCATTTTCTGTCCGAGCGTCTTTTTAGCTTCAATGTGCAACTCACAACGTCATCGTCATCGTGGTTGCTATTGCTGTTGCTATTGTTGTTGTTGTTGTTTTTCGGTTTTTATTTTTTATTATTGTTGTTATAGTCTGCATTCGACCTTTGCGGTTGGCGGACTCAACCCAACCCTACGTTCTTCTCCCACTGCCACTGTTGTTGTAATTATTCTTGCGTCGCGGTTCATGGAGTTTTGCGTCTGTAATGCGACTAAGTGCGATCAACCCGGCCCCGCCCCTCGCCGCCTCCCCCGCCTTTCTTTCCCATTGCCTTTGCCTTTGCCTTTGCCGCACTTTTGCCTTGCTCTTCTTTTTTAACCCACAAAAAAGGGTAGCACTACTATCACCCTACACCATAAATTAATGAAATGAAGAATAATTTTTGGAACACATTTGTGATTTTCTTTTAAAGTTTAATTAAGTATTATAATGATTTAAAAAATGGTTCAATTTAATTGAGCGAAGAACTCACATAAAAATGTCACACATTAGATTCGTATGATTTTTGAACTAATTATTATTTAACTAATACCTACTATTACTATTCCTTTGTATAAATGAACAAGAGCATTTGATCTTCGGTTAGCCCCAGTTAACTTCCTTTTCTCTTATTTATTTGTTTTTGTTGCTGTTGTCTTTATTGTCTTCTCCCTCTTGGATTTTGTGCTTTGTTTCATCGCGGGCGCAATTAGATTTTTAATTCATTTTCTCTCTCCGCTTGGCTCCTTAGCTGCTGTTTCAGCTTCTGGCTCTTCCGTCATGGCTTTTGCACACACACAGAGGGGATGGGGGCGAAACCCCCCGGTGCTGCCGAGATCCCCGATATGCATATAGTACCATATAGAGTATCCCCCCTGGAAGACCCAACCCTTTTCCGAATCGAAATCAGCTGCAATCAGCTGTTCTCTCGCGCTTTGTCTTTTTGGGTTTATTATCTGGTGTTTATTTACTTTCTGCCTTCGCTTCCTTCTCTCTCTTTCTCTCTCTCTCTCTCTCTCTCCAGACTCACATCATCAATGAACAAGATATAGCATTAACAGGATATTTACTTTTTGCCGAGACTGATTTATTTTGACTGCGAACGCAGCGAAATGCTTGAGAATCGATTGGCATACGAAAAAAAAGCGATTACTCATCGAAATGCATACTAATCAATCCACCCACACAGGCGCAGACCGAAATCTGTCAACTCCTTTCACTTTGCCAATTTCTTCGCTGGCCAAGAGGCCAATTTGCATACCAGGCCATAAAGCCAGAAGATCGTCAGCCGGATCGTTAAAATCGCAGCCCAATCAAAGCCCCCAAATGGAATCGAATCGTGGAGATCAATCAAAATCAAAATCAAAATCTGAATCCAATCGGTTATTCTGCAACCTGAACTATTTCGGTGGCGCAAAGTAGCAAAGTGAAGAGTGAGCGGGGAAAGGGGCAGGGATTTATTATTCATACGCCCCGTGTGACGGCGCAGCTCGCACTCTGCTTAAAACCAATTAAAATGCCTTCGAACCTGACTGAATCGGTAGTATCATGAATTAACTGGTCGCATTTTATGCCCAATTTACACCCACGCCGTGAACGTCAGTCTACCAAAGAGTGTGACTTGAATATGCGAAAATAAAATAAAAAAGGTTGCGGGGAAAAAACAAAGAAAAGGCCATGTGAAAAATAAATAAAAGTCACATCTTTTGTATTTAGCTTCGGGGCTACTACGGTTTGTTCTTCGCCTGTGGTTGCTTTTGTTGGCGAGGTGTTAAGTAAATTAGCTGCTCATAAAACATGATTTGATCTGGCCAAAAGTCCGAGTCTCTCGCAGCAGAATCACCAGCTAAGCTACCAGTATTTGTTGTTTGTTTGTTTGTTCGTTTCGTACGTCATCCGAAAGCGGAGACAAACTGGCAGTGGGTGACACTACGTAATTATTTTGGCAGACTAAAAATACTCAGAAGTGTTTGCCGCCGCCGCTGTATTATATAATTAATTGTCACTTGTGCTGCACGCAGCATTGAATATTGAATCTATTTTTCATGCGGTTTCAATTTTTTGTCACCTTGCCAAAGCACTAATAATCTCGGCGAGATTTTTCATTGAGAAAAGCAATACCTGGTGGTGGAAACACCACATGAAAACCTTGACTGCTGCGATTCGATTACATGGCTCGTCGACATGGATAACCTGCGACTCTGGTTTCGGTTTCTCTTCTGGGTTCTCCACTTCGCCACTCCGGTTGCACTTGTTAGAAAATGGGAAATGTGCTGTTCGGCGCAAGCGATTACAAAACAGAACAGAACGCATCGGAACACAACAGAACAGAATAGCGTTGAGCAGAAAGAAAACGCCAGAGCGGAAAATGCCTTTCAACGGCGGCGACGACACAGCGCAGTTCGCATATTTAGGTCAACGCCTACGAGTGGAAGCGACAAACTTACCCAACGGCACCCACAATTCATCATTTCTCAGCTCATCTCATCTTTTCGGGGTGTCTGGTCGGTCTACCTGGTGGTCATAAGATTTTCCACAAAGGTGGAAAAGTGGAAAGGTGGATGGATGGGGGCGGCGTTGTTCATTTAGCGTCACGCCAGAGAAGAGACAACTTTTCGTTAGTTTTCTGTCTGCGATGGCTCTTCTTCTTGTTGTTGTTGCTTTTATTGTTGTTGTTGTTGATTTTTCCTTCTTTTATATTTTATTTTTTTGGTAATTAAGTATGAATGGCGGCGCTAGACGACGAACCTTGGTTCGTTTAGGTAGTAAGTGTAAAGGGGGTTGACTCAGCTCTCTGACCAGCCCAACCCGCCCCTCTCTGCCTCGCCCCCCTTTGCGACTCCTCAGTCATCGAATGCACTGCAAAAATTCAATTTACCTGAGATATTTTCGGTTCAGCTTCCGTTTAATTAATTCATCTTTTGTTAGACACTCATTTGACAAGTAAAATACAGAATTATTATAAATATAGATTTATTCATAAATTATTTAATTTAATATACTGACAAGAAAAGCTAAGGATGACAAAAAAAATATTTCTTGCTTGATAAATGGGGTTTGCTTGAACCGATTTTAAGAAGCTCTAATTGATTTATTGTTTATATTCTCCAAAGTAACAATTTTCTACAAATCAGGCATTCTGACATATTTAGAACGTTTTCCCACCATGAGGGCGAAAATGCCCAGAGGCTCCTTGTTTTTTAGGGCCACTCTTGGGCATTTTCGCAGAGTGTAGGGGGCCCCTTTGGGTCTTGGCTGGCGGGCCGTTTGGCATGCGGGAAATAGAAAATTATAACGAAATGAAATTTTCAAATGGCATGCCATGTTTCCTTGCCTTGCCTCGCGACTCGACTCGCTTGCCTCGTTTATGAGTTTTATGCTATTTCTGGCCGCGCCGACAGCAGCAACATCGGCATTAGCAGCAATAGCAATAGCAACAGCAATAGCAACAACAGCAACCAAAACAGCAGCAACATCACGCAGCTGAAAGCCATTCGAGAGTAGGAAGACATCTTGGCCGCCATAGGCTTGCCAAAAAACAAAACGCACCGCGCCCCCTTTCATGAAAAAGTAAATTCGGAAAATAAACCAACGAGAAAATCTCCCCAGCTTGTTAGCCCTGCTTGCAATTTGCATTTGCATTTCCCATTGCTGTTGCTGTTGCTGCTGCAATTGCAGTTTGCTTTGGTTTTTGGCGCTAATGGAGCAATCTTGGTCCAGATAAAGTACAAAAACGAAAACGGAACCGGTCGATCAATGGGGCTCCTCTGTTCCGATTTATCCACTCGAGCACTCGACGAGCAGCGGATGTGACATAATCTGATTGCCGGGTGGTGCACTAACATGTGCATCGCGCACCGCCGAAATGGATAAACCGCCTGGCATTCATAAGGCTCTCTCTCTCTCTCACTCTCTCTATCTCTCTCTGTCTCACTCTGACTTGGCGGACCCATCAATGGGCCCAGATCTGTGTCGGCGCGATATCAAAGG